TTGCATCAAAAACATTATTTCTTTCTAAAACTATTCACGTATACTCTTCCACTTGGACTTATCATAGCACACCACATTTGTAAATCACTTTGAATAGAAGTGCTGGTAAATCTATAAATGCAAATGTAATTGCTTTGTCTGTTTATTCTTCTTCACTGATATATCAGAATTTGTAAAACTGTCCGGCTATCAGAACAAGATGCAGTGCAGCAAGCAATTCAAGCTGTCAATTCAAGGCCAGTAAAAACTAGTCCGGCTATGGTCAATCTTCTTAGCCAGTCAAAATAGTGTAAAATGATTAAATTTTTGTGAACTGTTTTCAGGTGCATGGCATCAGACCAAAGTCAAATAGATTATCATTTTAAATAAATAATCTCTCAGTAGCCATGATTTAGCACTGAAATTAACAGCCAACAAGCTACATAGTCAGTTTTTAGCTCACCTAGTTAAATTGAGGGCAATCGGGGATGTTATAGCCCTGTATTAGACAAACAGGATAAAAATGCTTTAATTGCTAATGTTTTATGTGACATTGCAGTTTTCCGCATAAGTCTAATTGCATCTTAGCTTGTGTATAATCAGAATGCAAACAGCCCACAACCCTTTATATAAAAGGTATCATTTGCCAAAATAGTGCCTTAACTGATCCTTTGAAAAAAAAAAGACAGAAAAGGATCTCTAAAACATAGAAACACACACTTGTTTAGTGTACAAGTACAAACTTTTTCTATGCTCAAGTATTTGTATGATTTTGTTTACATTAATAAAAACAAACAAATTAGCCACTTTATTAAAATAAATTGTTTTTAAAATGCATAAATAAAATCCTTACTCTAAGGTTATAAAAAATGTTTTACGATTTGGATTATTACTAAACAATATACTAAATACAAAACAATGACTACATTTACATGGACATCCCTAATTAAATTGTTTGCCTTAATCTGAATCAATAACATGATTAAGGTGTTTACACCACCAGCGCCACCACGCTATTCACGTTTTTCACAGTTCCATGTAATTTCAAGTGTTTCATTATTGATTTGTCCACTTTAAATGAAGTTTGGCACTTTTTGCATATTTAATTAGGAACATTTCATGCGTGCCCCCTTTGACAAACGAGATCTTGGAAGCGAGTATGAACTGCTGGAAGAGTGTTGTTTTAATAGAATTTGATACAGAGTATTGTCTTAATCATATTAAAAACTGGTTTTTGGTGTCCATGTAAATGAACTCGTTGAGTATATTAATATGATTAAGACAATACTCTGATTTAGGGCTCTATTTTGACGATCCATGCGCAAAGTGCAAAGCGCAGGGTGCAAACGCATTAAGGGCGTGTCAGAATTCACTTTTGCTATTTTAAGGATGGAAAAATCCGCTTTGTGCATGGTGCATGGTCTAACAGGGTTGAGCTTATTCTCCTAATGAGTTATTAGTATGTTTTGAGAATAAACCAATCAGAGTCTCATCTCCCATTCCCTTGAAATGTTTTAACATGGCGGACTTTTTAAATGAAAAAACTGAGCGCTTCACCAGTAATAAAACAAACAGATCATCAGTAGCGCGAGAATGAGAGATGAGCCTCCTCATTGTTTACTTTCACTTTCACTCTTGTGGATAGGGAAACGTGTTGTACGCACGACATCTATTAGCCTATACATTAGGGATGGAAAGATTAATCGAAATGTATCGATACGCGGTCATGCGCGTGCACGATGCGAGTGCATCGGTAGAGCAGCAGAGGATGAATGAAATTTTGAAAGCAAATCGAGATGCATCGGTTTTTGCGAGATGCATCGGTTTTTCCGAGATGCAACTTATATTTTTAATATAGAATGTTTTTTTTTTTTTATTAACAAGTGTTGTCAACCTGTTTTTGGCGCATAATTTAATTGACCTACATAAAGTAAGCCTTCAACGGATTTGCGGATGTGTACACTTACACTACAACTCAGTGTATCAGGCGTGCGAATTAAGCTAGTGGTGCGCCCTCAGAAAGCGCGAGAAGCAAAACAAACATTTTATTCCCCACTGAGTTTTAAATCTAAAGTATGGCAACATTATGGATTTAAGGATGGACGACATGACAGGACAGATGCAATTTGCAAAATGTGCCGCGCATCTATAAAATACGCGGGCAGTACGAGTAATCTGAAATCTCACTTGAAGCGGCGCCACGGTGTTGTTGTGAAAGCATCTTCCAGTGTTTCTGCATCCCCGGCTTTCGCACTGCTTTAACTGTAGCTACCAGCTCCAAAAGTGGTGAGAAAAGCATTGCAAGTTTTTTTCCATGCGCAAAAGTTTTGTGCGCTCTACGCCAATAACGGATGTTATTGCATTGTTCATCATCTGCAGGGCCGGAGCAAGCTGAACTGCCACTCTAGGCAGAGGACGATCACGCCGCCCTCAACCCCAATGTGAAAAAGAAAAGTGACCAGTTATGAAAATGAAGTGACGTGTCGCGGACCTCTATTCTGCCGCCCTATGCGCGGATATAACTGAGGACGCGGGGGTGTCGCGGACCTCTATTCTGCCGCCCTATGCGCGGATATAACTGGGTGTTGCGGACGCCACCCTCTCTATAATGCCGCCCTAGGCGGTTTTAAACACCTCCTCCTGTTAATTTTTATTTAATAATAATAATAATATTAATAATAATAATAATGATAAAAATAATGGGTATCACGGTGGCACAGTGGGTAGTTTGACCACCTCACAGCAAGAAGATTGCTGGTTTGTTACATTTTTATTAGCCTGTTGTTTACAGTGACAGTGATGTTTCAAAGCAGCATAACACTGCTAGTTCACCACCTTAAGTTTTGAATATTCAGTGGCAAAATATATCTTTGTAAAACTTGTTCTCATAGTTGAAAAGTTAAATAACAATTCTTGTTGTGCAATGCTAAACCTTTATGTTGAAAGAGTGCAAATATATATATTTTAATATATATTGCACTTATACATTCTGTTTATCTTGAAAATACTTAAATAATATGTGCTATATGTTCTAAAATGGCCCTCTACTGTAAACTGACACTCTGGCTCTGAGAGAAAAGCCAGTTTGTAAAAAAAAGTCTTGGTTTTGCTTGGTTAATAAATAATCAGACTCATTCAATGGCACAGCATCCTCTTTCACATAATCTCATAAACTTGATCTAATTAGTTAGTGCTGAATTATCGCATTGTATCGTGATATGGGTGTAAATCGTATCGTGTTGCATCGCAATATGTCACAAATGTATCGCTAATATATCGGATCGTATTCTTTGTATCGAGATGCGTATCGTATCGGCATTATAGCTTAGATGCCCAACCCTACCGCATACCCATTAGTAAATGTGCAGTTGCGCCCCTGGTTGTGTACAACATTATGACGAGCGGCAGGCTAACGTAATACCCATGCTTTTCGTTTTATGTCAGGAATTACTGAGACTTGCATTTAGCTAAACTTAAAAACGATTCAATACATACAGAATTCACTACTCACCATAACTTTGATGAAGGAAAATCGCCTGAATATGATGTTTCGGAGGAGCTCTGCCATTGCTGCGCTGGAATTTAAACCTGATCCAACAAACGACTCTCACGCGAATGCGTACACGCGCTTTTGCTGCAAGGTTTGTTCGACAAACACTATTTTCACTGCTGTTTGATAAATTGCCAAAGCACAGTTTTATGTTTGGTGAATGCATATTTTTAATTTTTACTTCAGACCATCAGCTAAAATTAATATTGTGGATTTTTTTTTTCGTTTGGGGCTTATTATTGTGAATTCATTTGTTGAGTCAGTATTTAATTGTCAGCGTCCACAATTATTTTATTTACTCTGTAATTTTGTTTTATATAATCTAATATTGAAATAATTAATGCAAAAATATGATCAGATAAAAAAAAACGTATTTGAAATTTGGTTAAATAAAGTTTGATTGCAACAAATTTTGATAAAAATTGATTGTGAAAATAAATAAATGAATAAAAGACAAAATTTTATGTATGTTTTCGTTTTTTTATTGTTTTGGGATCTAGACCTGGTTATGATAAAAAAATAATAATAATAATTATCAGGATATCTGCTTACCCCAACTGATTTTAATCAAATTTAACTGAAAGTGTTAATGTTTCTGTATTACACATTTTGTTTAGTTCACACTATATTTACTTATTTATAATGTAAAAATGACACAATGTGTAATAGAGAAGCAATAGAGAAGAACTCCTCTACTGCTCTGATTGACTTTCTGCTGATCAAGTGTTGTTTACATTTAATTGACTCCAATATTCTGTCACCACGGCAACCTGAGTTTACACTGAAATCAACACATCTCTCTGAATCTGATCACTTGAGCTCTTTCAACTCTTCACTTTGACAAGTTTCATCAGATTGTCTGATTTGGAAAGTTGATATTCATGGAGCAGCGGCGCCTCAGGTGAATCAGGAGTCTTCCAGCACACCTGAAGGACTTCCTGCTGGAGGGTGTCCCGTCTGTTCAGGATCCTGCAGCTGTGATCAGGTTGGATCATACTTACAGCTGTATCTCTTCCCCAGGTCTGAAGGAACATCACCTGAGGAACGCAGCTGTCCTTCCCCAAATCCGTCCAGCATCCTCAGTGCCTTCAGTGGACGTGGGACAGCAGGAGGAGCCACTGTCTATCCATGGCTACAGCGTTAAGGCCTACCAGGACATCTACCGCTCTGTGGTCGAGCCCATGATCAAGAGTCGTCCCTACAGCCTTCAGCTGGGCCTGGAGATCAAGCAGCGGCTGTGGGAGGCACTCAGGTGTCCTGTGATGGAGGAGACGGTGCAGGCTGATGGACGAATCCTCATTACAGAACGCAGATGTGGATCCAGACCAAACAGCATGGCTCCTCGAGTCCATGTGGACATCAGTGGAGAGCCACTGCCTGAGAAGCCCAGCAGAAAGAGGGCCAGACGCTGAGTCTTCACAGTGTCCCAAACCACACTGCAGTCCTGCGTATGTATATAGTGTACATAGTTGTAGAGCAAGTTCACAGTAAGTTTCCTTTTGCATGTTTTGTTTCATCAATTGGTTGTTTTTATTGATTCTTGATGTTGTTGACTTGAAGTTCTTGGTTTGCTCGGTGGTCTTCAGGATGTTTCAGGGGGTTTTCTGCACGGTTGTCGAGGTTTTCTGAGCGGTTGTTTTCGTGTTGCTGGTCGGTCGCTGGACTCTTCTGAGAGTTTCGATGCGTTTAGTGGTTTGCGGTGTCTGTTAGGTTAGGGTAGGTTAGGTTAGGGTCCCTCACGTGGTTTGCAGCTTGACGTGCTGTGAGGGCTTGTGTGCATCAGTGATGCTGAGAGCTTCGCCACTGGTACTTCACAGATACCGGTAGGGTCACCCATAGTGGACTGGTCTCAGCGGAGATGCCCGACTAAGACAAACCAGCTGATCCTGGACAGCAGATTTACATCAGAATCACCTGAAGATGTGGAAGTTGCAGGATTCGTGGAAGCAACCATTCTAAATGAATGAATCAATTAATAAATTTGTTATTTAATACATATAAAAGAGGCTGCAATTCTTTTCTTTTTCCTCTATTATGTTGATTTTTATCAAGTTATAATTAAAAAATAAAAGTAACAATTCTGGAATTATTATTACCCTTTTAACCTGATTTTCAAAACAATCCACCACTAATTGCACTACTAAAACTATAATAAAACTATGATAAAATAAGCCATAATAATAATAATAATAATAATTTTAAACATTCAATAAATAAAACAAATATTTAAATAATTTAATAAATTTTTTGATAGAATAATATTTACAATTATGTTATAAATATAAATTCTAATTATTTATACGCTGTAAAAAATGAATCAATATAATATTTATTTAAATAAATTTATATATAATTTACTCCCCAAACTACATTTTCTAGTGACTGGTCACATCTAAATTCAATAGTGGCAACAGCCTGTCAACATTGGCTCAATGAGAAATAATGTGTTGAACCAATAAAAAAAACCATCAAGTCTGCCCAATCATGTTATTGGCCCAATTGAATGTTTTAGATTGTGTGCAACAAGCTTTTTTGTTTCACCTAATTTAAAAATGTATATTGGTTAATTGTATATTGGTAAACAATGCTAAAGCAACTTTACTGAATTGTTTACTCCTCGTTGTCCCAAAAGAAAATGAATAATAGAATATAGAAAATCATAATACACTAAACACTGCCACATTTATTTATTTATTTATTTATTTTTATTAAAGAGACACTATTGTAAAAGTACTTTAGAATAACAAATACATTACACATTTCAACAAAGTATACCGTATAAATTCTAGCATTTTATTTCTCCTAATATTGACCTCATTCTTTAAGGCGGAAGTTTTTCCGATTTGTTTTCGAACATCTGATTCAGTGCCCTATGGGAGAAATGACTAGGAATATTAAACAGCGGAAAACAGACAAAATACTTGCTCTACAAACTAGTGTGTTTATGACTCTACAGACAAAGCAGAATAATATATTAAGAAAATATCAGTTTGCAACATCAAGCATCAAAACAAACAGTTTTTATTAAGATTCAAATGGCTGTGCCTGCTCGTATGTGAGGAATAAGGTCAATACATAGAGCTGAAGTGTACTTAATATATATCCCAAATATCTGCAAAAATGTAAAAACGGAAAAAAAAAAAAAAACTGCATAAAATGTGAGTATTTTTGTGAGGTTACTTTAACCATTGTTTAGTGTTGTCACCTGAATGCTTTCATTCTACAAAAGATAATCTGAACTTATGAAATCACATTTTTAATAGTTAAACCCATTCATTAACATTAAACATCTAATATATTTGCATATAAACAATGAACGGTTCATTCCGCTGTGGCTCCCCCTGATAAACAGGGGACTAAGCTGAAGGAAAATTAATAAATGAATATTAAAATCGTCAAAAGCACCATCAAATCTAAACAATGGGTTACTTTACCCAGTTGACACAGATGATTCCAGAACAGAAAAAAACTCACAAAAGTTTCAAGAAAAGTGAAAAAAAAATCTTCAAGAGGAACTTCAAGCACATAAAGCTGCATCTGTTTCAAATATTTACCATGTAAACCTATTTAGTCATTGTATTCCAGGTTGAGTAGATACTATAATCCAAAAGCACAAACGATGCATTGATAAAGCCTCCTATTGTCGAGCACCATCTCCTCTTCCAGGACAGCAGACATTCAGCACAGTTGACAGGGCTCTTAAACTTCATCATGCTCCTGATGCTAACTGTTTCAAGGATTCCCATCTTCATTGTAGCTGTGTGGTTTTCCAATGGCCCTGTATGTTAGAAATATAAAACGGCAATGTCAATATTAAGCCTATATCAAATACATATTCAAATGTCACCATAATACTGTGTCATTTTCAAAAACACTATTCCTGTTGGATCACAAATGTAATTTTAGCATGACAGAATGTGGATGTTCACATGATTATTAGCATAGTAACACCAATTAATAATTTCCATACTGTGAGAATGCTATGTGGTAAATTGCACATTTATATGTAAAATGTCACTTTGGCCAGGCACCTGTTTGTTTCCAGCAATGGTTCTAAATATCATTTACAGTGAGTAAATAACAGCAGAAGACAAAAAAACAGGTTTTCTTTCACACAAAACTGAAAAATCTGCCATAATTTACGCTCCCTTCCTTTATTCCAAACCTGTTTTTCTTTCTATCTTCTCTAAAGAAAATATTTTAAAGAAAGCTGGAAACCTGTAACCATTGACTTCCATAGTATTTGTTTTTCCTACTATGGAAATAAACGGTTACAGGTTTCAGCTTTTTTCTAAATATGACATTTAGTGTTCAACAGAAGAAAGAAACTTACAAAAGTTTGAAACCACATGTGCCTGAGTAAATAGTACAATTTGATTTGGGGGTGAACTGTCCCTTTAAGAACAACTCCAAATCAATGTTTAATATTTTCAAGTTAAAATCAATAAGGCAGGCTTGCGTTTTACATAATATTTTGTTTTATAGAAAATAAATAAGGCTACAGTAGAACTGACAACCGGCAACATATAACTAGCCAGAGCAATGTCTGTAGTTAACGTTAACGTGTTGTGTACAACATTATGACGAGCGGCAGGCTAACGTAATACCCATGCTTTTCGTTTTATGTCAGGAATTACTGAGACTTGCATTTAGCTAAACTTAAAAACGATTCAATACATACAGAATTTACTACTCACCATAACTTTGATGAAGGAAAATCGCCTGAATATGATGTTTCGGAGGAGCTCTGCCATTGCTGCGCTGGAATTTAAACCTGATCCAACAAACGACTCTCACGCGCATGCGTACACGCGCTTTTGCGGCAAGGTTTGTTCGCCAAACACAAACACTATTTTCACTGCTGTTTGATAAATTGCCAAAGCACAGTTTTATGTTTGGTGAATGCATATTTTTAATTTTTACTTCAGACCATCAGCTAAAATTAATATTGTGGATTTTTTTTTTCGTTTGGGGCTTATTATTGTGAATTCATTTGTTGAGTCAGTATTTAATTGTCAGCGTCCACAATTATTTTATTTACTCTGTAATTTTGTTTTATATAATCTAATATTGAAATAATTAATGCAAAAATATGATCAGATAAAAAAAAACGTATTTGAAATTTGGTTAAATAAAGTTTGATTGCAACAAATTTTGATAAAAATTGATTGTGAAAATAAATAAATGAATAAAAGACAAAATTTTATGTATGTTTTCGTTTTTTTATTGTTTTGGGATCTAGACCTGGTTATGATAAAAAAATAATAATAATAATTATCAGGATATCTGCTTACCCCAACTGATTTTAATCAAATTTAACTGAAAGTGTTAATGTTTCTGTATTACACATTTTGTTTAGTTCACACTATATTTACTTATTTATAATGTAAAAATGACACAATGTGTAATAGAGAAGCAATAGAGAAGAACTCCTCTACTGCTCTGATTGACTTTCTGCTGATCAAGTGTTGTTTACATTTAATTGACTCCAATATTCTGTCACCACGGCAACCTGAGTTTACACTGAAATCAACACATCTCTCTGAATCTGATCACTTGAGCTCTTTCAACTCTTCACTTTGACAAGTTTCATCAGATTGTCTGATTTGGAAAGTTGATATTCATGGAGCAGCGGCGCCTCAGGCGAATCAGGAGTCTTCCAGCACACCTGAAGGACTTCCTGCTGGAGGGTGTCCCGTCTGTTCAGGATCCTGCAGCTGTGATCAGGTTGGATCATACTTACAGCTGTATCTCTTCCCCAGGTCTGAAGGAACATCACCTGAAGAACGCAGCTGTCCTTCCCCAAATCCGTCCAGCATCCTCAGTGCCTTCAGTGGACGTGGGACAGCAGGAGGAGCCACTGTCTATCCATGGCTACAGCGTTAAGGCCTACCAGGACATCTACCGCTCTGTGGTCGAGCCCATGATCAAGAGTCGTCCCTACAGCCTTCAGCTGGGCCTGGAGATCAAGCAGCGGCTGTGGGAGGCACTCAGGTGTCCTGTGATGGAGGAGACGGTGCAGGCTGATGGACGAATCCTCATTACAGAACGCAGATGTGGATCCAGACCAAACAGCATGGCTCCTCGAGTCCATGTGGACATCAGTGGAGAGCCACTGCCTGAGAAGCCCAGCAGAAAGAGGGCCAGACGCTGAGTCTTCACAGTGTCCCAAACCACACTGCAGGCATGCGTATGTATATAGTGTACATAGTTGTAGAGCAAGTTCACAGTAAGTTTCCTTTTGCATGTTTTGTTTCATCAATTGGTTGTTTTTATTGATTCTTGATGTTGTTGACTTGAAGTTCTTGGTTTGCTCGGTGGTCTTCAGGATGTTTCAGGTGGTTTTCTGCACGGCTGTCGAGGTTTTCTGAGCGGTTGTTTTCGTGTTGCTGGTCGGTCGCTGGACTCTTCTGAGAGTTTCGATGCGTTTAGTGGTTTGCGGTGTCTGTTAGGTTAGGGTAGGTTAGGTTAGGGTCCCTCACGTGGTTTGCAGCTTGACGTGCTGTGAGGGCTTGTGTGCATCAGTGATGCTGAGAGCTTCGCCACTGGTACTTCACAGATACCGGTAGGGTCACCCATAGTGGACTGGTCTCAGCGGAGATGCCCGACTAAGACAAACCAGCTGATTCTGGACAGCAGATTTACATCAGAATCACCTGAAGATGTGGAAGTTGCAGGATTCGTGGAAGCAACCATTCTAAATGAATGAATCAATTAATAAATTTGTTATTTAATACATATAAAAGAGGCTGCAATTCTTTTCTTTTTCCTCTATTATGTTGATTTTTATCAAGTTATAATTAATAAATAAAAGTAAGAATTCTGGAATTATTATTACCCTTTTAACCTGATTTTCAAAACAATCCACCACTAATTGCACTACTAAAACTATAATAAAACTATAATAAAATAAGCCATAATAATAATAATAATAATAATAATTATAAACATTCAATAAATAAAACAAATATTTAAATAATTTAATAAATTTTTTGATAGAATAATATTTACAATTATGTTATAAATATAAATTCTAATTATTTATACGCTGTAAAAAATGAATCAATATAATATTTATTTAAATAAATTTATATATAATTTACTCCCCAAACTACATTTTCTAGTGACTGGTCACATCTAAATTCAATAGTGGCAACAGCCTGTCAACATTGGCTCAATGAGAAATATTGTTTTGAACCAATAAAAAAAACCATCAAGTCTGCCCAATCATGTTATTGGCCCAATTGAATGTTTTAGATTGTGTGCAACAAGCTTCTTTTGTTTCACCTAATTTAAAAATGTATATTGGTTAATTGTATATTGGTAAACAATGCTAAAGCAACTTTACTGAATTGTTTACTCCTCGTTGTCCCAAAAGAAAATGAATAATAGAATATAGAAAATCATAATACACTAAACACTGCCACATTTATTTATTTATTTATTTTTATTAAAGAGACACTATTGTAAAAGTACTTTAGAATAACAAATACATTACACATTTCAACAAAGTATACCGTATAAATTCTAGCATTTTATTTCTCCTAATATTGACCTCATTCTTTAAGGCGGAAGTTTTTCCGATTTGTTTTCGAACATCTGATTCAGTGCCCTATGGGAGAAATGACTAGGAATATTAAACAGCGGAAAACAGACAAAATACTTGCTCTACAAACTAGTGTGTTTATGACTCTACAGACAAAGCAGAATAATATATTAAGAAAATATCAGTTTGCAACATCAAGCATCAAAACAAACAGTTTTTATTAAGATTCAAATGGCTGTGCCTGCTCGTATGTGAGGAATAAGGTCAATACATAGAGCTGAAGTGTACTTAATATATATCCCAAATATCTGCAAAAATGTAAAAACGGAAAAAGAAAAAAAAACAGCATAAAATGTGAGTATTTTTGTGAGGTTACTTTAACCATTGTTTAGTGTTGTCACCTGAATGCTTCCATTCTACAAAAGATAATCTGAACTTATGAAATCACATTTTTAATGGTTAAACCCATTCATTAACATTAAACATCTAATATATTTGCATATAAACAATGAACGGTTCATTCCGCTGTGGCTCCCCCTGATAAACAGGGGACTAAGCTGAAGGAAAATTAATAAATGAATATTAAAATCGTCAAAAGCACCATTAAATCTAAACAATGGGTTACTTTACCCAGTTGACACAGATGATTCCAGAACAGAAAAAAAACTCACAAAAGTTTCAAGAAAAGTAAAAAAAAAGAAGAACTTCAAGCACATAAAGCTGCATCTGTTTCAAATATTTACCATGTAAACCTATTTAGTCATTGTATTCCAGGTTGAGTAGATACTATAATCCAAAAGCACAAACGATGCATTGATAAAGCCTCCTATTGTCGAGCACCATCTCCTCTTCCAGGACAGCAGACATTCAGCACAGTTGACAGGGCTCTTAAACTTCATCATGCTCCTGATGCTAACTGTTTCAAGGATTCCCATTCTTCATTGTAGCTGTGTGGTTTTCCAATGGCCCTGTATGTTAGAAATATAAAACGGCAATGTCAATATTAAGCCTATATCAAATACATATTCAAATGTCACCATAATACTGTGTCATTTTCAAAAACTATTCCTGTTGGATCACAAATGTAATTTTAGCATGACAGAATGTGGATGTTCACATGATTATTAGCATAGTAACACCAATTAATAATTTCCATACTGTGAGAATGCTATGTGGTAAATTGCACATTTATATGTAAAATGTCACTTTGGCCAGGCACCTGTTTGTTTCCAGCAATGGTTCTAAATATCATTTACAGTGAGTAAATAACAGCAGAAGACAAAAAAACAGGTTTTCTTTCACACAAAACTGAAAAATCTGCCGTAATTTACGCTCCCTTCCTTTATTCCAAACCTGTTTTTCTTTCTATCTTCTCTAAAGAAAATATTTTAAAGAAAGCTGGAAACCTGTAACCATTGACTTCCATAGTATTTGTTTTTCCTACTATGGAAATAAACGGTTACAGGTTTCAGCTTTTTTCTAAATATGACATTTAGTGTTCAACAGAAGAAAGAAACTTACAAAAGTTTGAAACCACATGTGCCTGAGTACAATTTGATTTGGGGGTGAACTGTCCCTTTAAGAACAACTCCAAATCAATGTTTAATATTTTCAAGTTAAAATCAATAAGGCAGGCTTGCGTTTTACATAATATTTTGTTTTATAGAAAATAAATAAGGCTACAGTAGAACTGACAACCGGTAACACATAACTAGACCAATGTCTGTAATTAACGTTAACGTGTTGTGTACCCTTGTTCCAGCCATAACCCAGTACTGGGACTTCGGCCAATAGTTATTTTGTTTATCCAATAGAGTTTATGCGGAGCTAGTGTTTCTTCCCATACTGATAAATTTCTGGTGAGCGGTTGATGTGACTTTTATCCATTTTATACAGTTCATTTTACAGCATCAATGTTGTAATATAATTAAAATACAGTCAGTTAAATACTTTGGCATTCATTTAGTTGCTCAAGTATAAAACAAGACAAAAAGCCATTAACTCGCATGCCCCCGTCAGAATCGGCAGGCTAGAGCAGAAACTCCATTGAATATACTAGGGTAAAATAAATGTTAATTTTAAAGACATGGCAGGGATAAGTGTAATTTAATGCAGTGTTTCTTTTACAATCTGAGACCCACTTTATATCAGATATCACTCAGCCAGTGGAGATCGCTGATTTTTAAAGAAAATAGACCTTTAACTGGCCAATTTTGCAATGGCATACAGTTCACTGGAAGCGCTGAACCCAGGTTACTGACAGATTAAAAGTCCTTTAGCATGTTTTGGCATATACCCAATTCACCTATACCAGATGTCTTTGGACGTTGGGGAAAACCGGTGAAACCCAGAAAATCCACGCCAACACAGGGAGAACATGCAAACTCCACACATGAATGCCAGCTGGTCTAGCCAAAACTAGAAACAGCCCCCTTCTGGCTGTGAGGCAACAGTGCTAGCCACCAAGCCACCATGCTGCATGGTTGATCCAACAGTGGGTTTGAC